AGCTGGCCAGCGTCAGTGCCCTATCACGCACAGGGTGCAGTATTTGTCTTTTCCACCAGGAGTTCACGGGCAACGACGGCGGCCTGGGGTCAGACGACGGCCCCTCTGAGATTTCCTTCCTCGGCGGGGGATAGTCGATCAGACTTGCCCCCCTGGACAGAGCGCTGCCACTGGCTCCAATCCCCAACATGTACAAGACCCCCTGCTACCTGGCCCCTAGCGACACTCGCTTTAGCGCTGACCGGAGATCGGCCAGGTACAGGTGCGACGTTTGCTGCAAGTTCCCCGCCCAGGCACAGCGAGGGCACTTGGCTTGGCGACTATATGCGCTCGTATCTTGTACTGAACCGCCTGCCGGCACACGCCAACGCGTCGGATTGCATATGGCTTTGCGCTCAGTGCTGGACAGAGTCGGCCGAGAAGGAAGGCTGCCTGCGATCCCCCGACCGCTCCTTCCCCGACAACGCACAGGCCGTCGCACTCGCCAGGGGCGCCAGGGGCCCTTCCAGGCCCCCGCCCGCGGACGCGCTGCCCTCCGCCGCCTCCCATCTCGCGCTCTCGGCGCTTCCCCCCGCAACGACAACGGGCGGCCTCGGTGATTTCCTGCTGGGGCCGGCGGGCCTCCACGCCCCCAAGAATGCCAGCGCTACCTTACCGCCCGCGCGGCTAGAGAACGACAGGTTCGGGTGCGCGGCAGCAGGCTCCAAGCGCCGCGCGGCCACGCGCGACGGGTGCCCACCCAATGCCCCCCCCGCTTTTCTGGCAGGCAGGCGCGCCCGCGCTCGGCAGTTTCGCATGGAAGGCTGACGCAGTGTTTCAGCAAGCGCGCGCGGGTGGCCTCCCAGCGTGGGGGGGCCGAGCCGTCGCCTGGACCAACCGCAGTTGGAACGCCGCCTGGACGTTCCGCCAATGCCTCGTTCGCGCATGGGAAGCCAAGCCCAGTGCAGTCAACGGGTTGCTCGACCGGGACTCCCGTCTTTTTTACCCCCGCATTCCCACCTCCAAGCCACGTTCCGCTCCGCCGGTCCCCGACGAGCACTCGCCACCCGGGGAACTCGTGCCCGGCTGCGCCTCAGCTACCAAGCCTGTCCCGCACAGCAAGAGTGGAGGTGCCCCCGACCTGGCCGCCCCTGAACAACGCGGTCGCCCCCCCACAACGCGCGGGGCCGAGGATGTGCTCAGTCTCTTACCCGAGGTGGATCTCCCCAAAGGGCCAGCCTTGAAAAAACATCGACATTGACAGCCTGGGGGCTGCCGAGGAGGTGGGCGGGACTGCCTGGACACCAGGCCCATCGAGGTCAGGATGGTCGAGTTCCCGCGCGGCTTGCACCCGCTTCTGGACGGCCAATGGAGGGACTTTGCCGCAGAGAAGGGCAGGGGCGTGGTGGGCTCCGAAGCCCGCGAGAGCTGCGGCCCACCCCTATTGCGTCCCTTCTTGGAGAAGCTCTACGGCGACTCGGTGGCGCCCACCTACGCCCCCCATCGACTTCCACTGGCAGGGCAAACGGCTTGCCGCCGCCCGCGTGGTTGCGGAGCTCTGTGTTCACTCGACGGACCCCTCCATGCTGCCCAAATGGTTCGAACGCTCGAACCGACCGCCCCTGCGTGGTCCTTCCCCTCTTCGACGCACCCTGGACACCCTCGTCGGCTTCCTGTTGCAGGTCAGTTCAGACAAGCTCGCCTCTGGGCCATCCCAAGAGCTTGTCAAGGTCGTTCCCATGCGAGTCACGCAGGAACTGCACAGACTGGTCGGCGCCGCCCCCGTCGGGAGGCACAGCGACAGTGACTGGTGGGCAAGTCTCGGTGTGCGGCACCTCGAGGTATCCGACCCTCCGGCAGAGTTCCACCCCTTTGCCCCCCGCTCTCCTGAAGCCCCCGACCGGGGCAACGATGTGGCACGCATCCTGTGTCGTCTGTGCGCAGCGGCACCAGCCCGCCCTGCAACCGCCCAGCAAGCTCGCGCTCCCCTGACGGCGCACGCGCGCGGCTGGCCAGCCCCGCTCCCGTCGCCCCCCCCCCCCCCCGCCATGGGGCGCTCTTTGAGACGTTCGTCGGAGACTCGGGAGCGCGCCTGGGGCCATTTAGAGGAGATTGATCAATAAAGATGGGGGCTCTAATTATTGCCCCCCCTCGAGAGCCCCAGAAATCGCGTATTGGGCCCCTCTTGGGGCGCTCTTGGGGCGCCCTTGGGCGTTCTTGTGGCCGTCTTGGGGCTCTCTTGGGCCTCCCTTGGGGCCCTCGGGGGCCCTCCCGGCGCTGCCTCGAGGCCTTGGAAGGCCATCGGAAGCGAAACGGCGAGAAGGCAAACATCATTGATGCTCCTCAGGTTTGTAAACGATTTTGGCCTCTTCGCGGCCTCCAGGGGAGGTTCCGTGGCCACTTGGAGCTGCCTTGGAGCGTGTTTTTTTTGTTGTTGTAATATTTTTTGTTGTTGTTGTTTGTTTTTTTCCCCCCGCTTTTTGGAGCATCTTGGGAGTGATCTTGGGCTCTCTGAGACCCTCTTGGAGCCGTCTTGGGTTGTCTTAGATGCCCTGACCGCTCGCGGGGCACCCCTTCCAGGTGTTGGGGGGGGGGAATGGGGGGGGCGGTGGGGGGTAGGGGGGGGGGTGGGGGAGGCGGAGGAATCAAGATTCCCTCCCCGCCCGCAAGCCGTCTTGCTCACTCCCGCCCGCCCTCCCAACGCATACGTGGCACCCGACTCTGGCCCGAGCCTCAGCATATTCAGCAGTCGTCTTTGGATGGGCGATGCGCGACCTGGGCCTGGAGCCGGTCGATGTGGACGGCTGCGCTGTCGGTGTACGGTCCAAGTCAGGAGAACCCATCCTGAAGCCTTGGAGGATCGCCGTCAGCTCGCAGCACATGAAGCGGGCCCTTGACGGTCTGCGCTGCCAGGGGGGGCCATGAGCACGTGCCCTGCTCCGGAGGTGAGACGGCACGGTCGGCTTACTACCCCGAAAATTGTGCCACGCGATTCATGACGGCTTGGACGCCCATGACTCCGCGGACGCCATGGCCGCTACCGGGACACGTGTTAAACCATTATAGGCGTTGGTGCCAGGTTACATGATGGTCTCCGGCACAAGCGAGCCGGCGACTGAGACACGTGTTAAACCACTCGAGGCGTTGGTGCCTGGTTGCACGACAGTGACGGGGGCGCATGTTAAACAATTTCAGGCGTTGGTGCCAGGTTGCATGTCTGTCCCCGGAGGATCTGGTACCCCGTCGACCGTCAAGCCTGTCGTTGGCTGCGGCGTTGTCGAGCCTGTCGTTGGCCACAACGAGGTGAGTGGGCGGTCTAGCACAGCTACCGAGCCTTGCTTCTCACTTTCGTGTTACGCTGTCGTCGAGCCTTCTGTTGGCCGCGACAGGAACATTGACATTGAAGACCCGTGCTGGCAGTTCTTCTGCTTAGAGCACGGGATTGATCCGGCGTTGGCAGCTTGGAGCTTCGCCGACCGCCCGGAGATGCTCCGTGCGGAGGGCTCCGAAGCTCACGGTGCTGAGAGCCACAGGCCTCACCGTGACCCGTGCCTCCTCGGCGTCTGGAGCGCCCTTGTCACGCGTTTGATCCCGGCGAAGAGTCCCGCGTTCTCGTCGCCGCCGTGCATCGCGGCCTTGGACAAAGAACTCAAGACGCTCCGTGATCAAGGAGTGTGGGATGAGTCGGGTGGCCAGGAGTGACGTTCGGTCAGGACGCGGAGCGGTCGCGATGGACAGGATGACCTTGTCGGGCGTCTATTCGCCATCGTGGTTGAAAAGAACGCCGAGGACGGCGTCGCGCCTGAAAAGCGCAAATATAAAGCTCGCGTGGTCTTTGCGGGCAACAACAATCAAACTGCATCTGGGAATCAGGCGCATGAGCTGTTTCAAGAGCTCAGTCAGACGCCTGCCGCGATGGGATCGGTCCGCGCGGCTCTCGCGATCGCCGCTTTGCGCGGCTTCCATCCGAAGGCGCGGGATGCCACGCAGGCATACATTCAGGCGCGAATCGACTGTGCTGACCGCCCCCGGACTTGGGTGCGGCTGCCGAAGCAGTGGTGGCCAGCATCCTGGTTTGGTCCTAAAGGGGAACCCTTGTACGACGATCATGTCGTTCCTTTTGAGCGTGCGTTGTACGGACACCCGGAGTCGGGGGCCCTGTGGGACGCGCATCTAGGAAAGATCTTGACCGACTTGGGGTGGACTCGAACGGAGGTTCATCCCGGCCTGTGGTTCCACAAGGTGACCGGAGCCATCATGGCCGTATACGTGGATGATTTCATGCTCGCGGCGGGGAGGAAAGACGAAGCTCGTCTGTGGGCCGAGATCGAGCAACACGTGAAATTCGGCGAACCCCCATCTCACATCGCTAAGTTCCTTGGCGGGCACCACTGCGTGCGGATGGAGGCATCTATATGTATGCATGCATGTATGCATGCATGCATATTGTATGCATGTATGTATGTATGTATGTATGTATGTATGTATGTATGTATGTATGTATGTATGTATGTATGTATGTATGTATATACATATGTATGCATGTATGTATGTGTGTATGTATGTGTGTATGTATGTATGTATGTCTGTCTGTATGTATGTATGTATGTATGTATTCATGCATGTATGTATGTACGTATGTATGTATGTATGTATGTATGTATGTATGTATGTATGTATGTATGTATGTATGTATGTATGTATGTATGTACATATGTATGCATGCATGCATGCATGCATGCATGCATGCATGTATGTATGTATGTATGTATGTATGTATGTATGTATATGTGTATGTATGTATGTATGTATGTATGTATGAATGTATGCCTGCATGCATGCATGCATGCATGCATGCATGTATGATTGAGCGAGTTCAGAGCGTGTGTTTTGTTCAGTATAGGCTGCAGAAGGGAGGGAGAGAGAGCCAGCCATCCGCTGCAAGTGGCTCTAGTGAGATGGCGTGCTGAAAGAGAGCACGATGGCGGGCCCTCCTCCATCCGCCCCAGAGGGCGCCCGAGCGGGCTGGCGATGGCGAGCCCAGCTGGGCCTGGCGGTCATCGGCGCCCTCAGTGGCGTGGGAGCCTGGAGGGCCGAGACTGGCCGGGCGCGGCTGGAGTGGGCCGCCATGTCCTTACTGGCCTTCGGCATACTGGGATGGTGGCTTGGGGCCTTGGGCCCCTGGACGACGCACGGCGGAGGCAGCAGCGGCGAGGAGAGCGACGAGGTGCGGCGCCTGCGCGAGGAGCTGGAGGCGCTGAGGGCTCGGCTGCCTGCCGACGGCGACGGAGGCGACGCGGGGGCCTCAGAGGCTGCCGCGGCGGACGCGGGCGACGCAGTCCCGCCTGGCCTCGCGGCTCCACTCACAGGAGGCTGGCCGCACGGGATCCCGCCGCTAGGACCCTCGGCTGCCAGCGGAGGCGCAGGCACCGCGGCCGCTCCCGCAGGCTCGGCAGCGCTGGGCGACCTGGCGGCCTGGTGCGGCGCAGCTCCCGCCCACGGAGGGGCGGACGCAGGATGCGGGCCGCCTCGGATGCATGCCCCGCTGTCGGACGGTGGTGCGACCAGGACGGCTGCGGCGCAGGTGAAGACGCTGTTGAGCGGGTTCGCCGCCGGGGCAAGGAGCGACCCCATGTGGGCTCAGCGCTTCTGGGCGGCGGTGGCCGACCTGGAGGCAGCGGGGGCTCTCCCTGGGGCCGTGCTGGTGACCCTCAAGGGGTACGGCTACCTGGGCCGCGAGACGGCGGGAGCGCCTCGTCTGGGCGAGCTGCTGGCCGCGCTGGAGGCCATGAGCACGGCGACCGTGCCCCTGGGAGGCTCGGGCGGCTTCGCCACGCCTGCCGGCGGCCTGGCCGCGTCGGGCGGCGGCAGCTGCGACATGCGCTGGGGTGCGGCTTTGCCCCCAGACATGCAGAGGGCGGCGCCAGAGATCTACCGCGCCATGCGCGCCGAGGGCAGCAGTGGTGCGCGGGACTGGCTGAGTGTTCGTTACACAGGGTCCCGCACGAGTGGCACGTGGACCGACCTGTGGACGATGGCGACGGCTATCGACTTCAAGCTCAGAACCTGCCAGAGCGACGAGGAGCTGATGCGGACCCTCGGCACGGACGATATGCTCGAGCTGTCCCTCCGGAGGCTGGCTTCCTTCGTCTACGAGGTGAGGAGCGGCGACAAAGCGGGTGCCGCTCACATGCTGGGAGTGGCCCCGCCTGGAGGGCAGACCGACATCGCCCCGACCTGGCTCGTACAGGCGGCCTCCAGCCACAGCAAGCTGGAACACCAACGACGGGAGCGCGCCGAGGCAGAACTCCGCTCGAGGCGCAAGGCCGACAAGGGCAAGGACAAGGATGGCAAGAGGGAGAAGAAGGGCAAGGGGGGCGGTGCCCCCCAGGGGGCTTGACTAGCCTCCGATGCGCGGCGGGGAGGGCCTGCGCCCCGTTCGCGCCGAGACGAACAGCAGGTATGGGTGCCGACCGCGCACCCGGGCAAGGAGGCGTTCAAGGAGCTGATGGAGGTCATGCAGATCTCCGAGAAGTTCTTGCCCATCAGGTTGATCCCGCGTCCTCGACCGCCAGGGGGTGCAGGGAATGTGTCGAGCCGTCTCCGCCACAGGTACCGCTCCAAGCTTCGAGTTTGGGAGTGGGCCAACCAGTTCCTCCGCGGGGTGAACTCGATGTACGGAGGGGACTGTCGAGAACTCACACGCCGCCCTTTTGTTGGACCTTTGACGATGAAGACTTGGGCGGCGATCGAGCGCTCGCATCGCCTAGCTTTGCGCGAGGCGAAGCGCATGTGTCAGGCGCGCCGGGATTTCGATCCGACTGGCGTCCAGGCTCTGCTCGCATTGGCGGGGCCCGCAGCGGAGGAAGAGTGCGGCCAGAGCAGGAGGGTCACGCCCCACGTGACGCTGAAGGCCTGGGCCGTAGACGAGCCCGTGTCGGACAGGAAGGTCAGGATGCTGGAGGCCCTCGACCCCGAGGAGGCGACCTTCTACGAGCTGGAGAGCAACGTCATGGCCGACCCGGAGACGCGGAGCCAGGTGATCTTCAAGGAGCTGGAGACCAAGTACGGCTTCCTGGGGGCGAGTACGGCGAGTACGTGGAATACCTGAACAGACCCGACCTGGTGAAGGGAATGTGGAAGTTCGCAAAGGAGAGCGAGATAAGAGCCGTGGCAGGGCTCACGGTTGTGCCGAAACGCTCGGGAGATCGTCAACGCAAGATCCTGATGACCTGCGCTTTCAACTACATGACGAGGGAGGTGCAGGAGCGCGAGGAGCACGGCCTTCACGGGGGAGGAGCCCTCCTACGGCTGCACGCCGGTGGCGATGCGATCGCGGGGGCCGCGCTGGACGAGTCCAACGCTTTCTCCTACGTGGAGGTGCCGAGCTGGATGTGGCCATGGCAGGCCGCTCCCCCCGTGCTGGCGGCGGACGTGTGGGACCTCCTGGACGTCAAGCAGCAGCTGGAGGTGAGGCCGCAGGAGTGGATCTACCCGATGTGGACCCGCCTGGTCATGGGCAACTCCCACTCGGTGCACGTGCTGATGAATATCAACATGAGGGTCGTGGGTATGACGTTGCATCACCACTTGAACATCGGGAAGACCGAGGCTTTCGACTCAACCGAGGAGTGCCAGCTCTGCGCTGGCGGCGAGGACGAGGACTGGGTGGCGCGCCAGGCCCTGCGGCGCCAGGCGACCGCCCCGTCCGTCGGATACGGAGTGCAGGAGTGGTGCAGCGTAGTACGGGCGGCGAAGGCGTCTCGCCGACGTGTGTTCGTGGTGCTGCACCTCTTCTCGGGCCCACGGCGCGCAGGCGACCTGGAGGAGCACCTGACCGAGCTGGGCAGGGACGAGGACCTGGAAGTCCTCGTGCTGTCGTGCGACCTCGGGTTCGACTCGCGCTGGGACCTGACCAAGCAGGACACCTTCGACCTCCTCATGACGCTGATCGAGGAGGGTTTGGTGGACGCGGTGGTCGGAGGCCCACCCTGTGCCACGTGGAGCCGCGCCCGCTTCGTCGACATGGCGGGCGGACGAGGGCCGCGCCCCCTCAGGCGGCGAGGGATGTGGGCTTGGGGAGTCCCAGCCCACACGCTGACCGCCTACGAGAAGCAGCGCCTGGACGAGGGCAACGTGGCCATGCTGAACTTCCTGTCCTTCTGCGAGGCCGTGGCGCTTCGCGGAGGACTCTGGCTCATGGAGCATCCCGAGGACCCAGGGGAGGATCCTTTCCCGTCGGTGTGGGCGACGGACTTGGAGCGAGCGCTGGAGGAGAGAACGGGGGCTACGAGAGCAGTCTTCGACCAGTGCACCTACGGCAGCCCCACCCGGAAGCCCACGTGTCTCGCCGGCAACTTATACCACCTGGAGATGCTCGACGGCCGCCGCTGTCGAGGAGACCACCGCCACGAAGTGAGCGTTGGGAAGCAAAACGGGAAGTTTGTTTCGGCCCGCCTGGCCGCCTACCCCGACAGGCTCTGCCGTGCGATTGCCGGCCTCCTTGTGATGAACTTCAAGAGGATGCTGGCAGAAGGGAGCGGCCCTACGGGGCATTTGAGAGCAGACATCGCGGTCCGACGCATAGGAGACTACTCGAGACGGACAGCGGGAGCCAATTCCAAAGGCCTACTGGTGTTGAACGAAGTTTCGGCGAGGGGCAGGAACGCGATCCTGCGAGAGGCGGACATCGGCGTCTACTTGCACATCGACGACTGCCTGTTCATGTCCCAGCTGAAGGAGCGGCCCGAGTCGGAGTTGGAGTGCGACGTGGCCCTCCACAAGTCCGCCGAGGCGCTGGAGAGGATCGGTTTCCTGGTCAAGGACCGTCGGAAGAGGGGCGAGATGACCAAGATCATTGGTTACGAGCTGGAGGAGAGGCCGGCGAGGGCGCGGGTCCCTGCCGCGAAGGCCCTCCTGCTCTACCGCGCCCTGGAGCACCTCACCCGCCAGCACGTGGTGAACCTGGACAGCCTGAGGTCCGTCATCGGCGTCTGGATCTGGGCGGCGCTCGTGGCCAGACACTGGCTGGCCGCCCCCCAGCACATCTTCGCCTTCGCCGCACTCGAGGGCCCGAGACGACGCCGGTGGTGGAGCTCGGCTCGACGGGAGGCAGTGGCCATGATGAGGGGGGTGATGGGCCTCTACGCCGACTTGGGCGCGCCCTTCTACCCCGTCACCCTCGCGACGGACGCGGAGGGCGACAACGCGGTGGACGCGGGCGGCTTCGGAGTGGTCGGCGCCCTGCTTCCCGCGGAGGTCCAGGAGGCCATGTGGGAGGCGGGGCTCAGACCAGGGAAGGCGCTGCTGCGCAACGGCCAGATCGAGAAGGTGGTCAAGCGCGGCGTCCGCACCTTGAAGGCTTTCACTCCTGTGAGTGCGATCCCCGCCGAGGCGCTGAGCTCAGACATCGAGTGGACCGAGCTGCTGGCCGGGAGGTGGAGGTTTGCCGACCACATCACCCTGGGCGAGGCTCGAGCCGCACTAGTGCCGCTGGAAAGGCTAGCCTGGGCGAGCCACGCCCACCGCACCAAAGTGATGAGTATGGAAGACAACATGGTAACTGCTTGGGCGTTCGCCAAGGGGAGGTCGACCTCTGGAGGCCTCAACTACGTACTACGGAAGCGAGCGGCGCTCTCGGCCATCACAGACATACGGCAGCACCTACCGTGGGTGGACACGGAGAGGCAGCCCGCCGATCAGCTCTCACGATCGAGACCATGTTTCGACGCTTTCTCGAAGGAGCCCAGGACCCCCGCGGCCAAGACCACCTTGGCAGCACCGCCTCGCGGGGTCCAACTATGACAAGTGCCAGGCCCGAGGGGCCGCCAGCAGCCGCAGTCGACCCCCACCTGGAGGGCAGGGTCACCGCGAAGACGCTGGACCACTATAAAGTTGCAGCCGCCCGCCTGGTGTCGTGGCGCCAGCTGCACCACGCGTCTCCGTGGACACCGGACGAGTGGGACGACGCGCTGATTGAATTCAAACATAGCCTACGCGAGGAGCTGACGAGGGCGCAGTTCATCACCACCGTCAGCGCGCTGGAGTTCCGTTTCCCGAGGCTGAAGGGCAAGCTGGCCTGCGCGCGCGCCGCCATCAGAGGATGGACGATCCTGAACCCTGTCAGGCACACCGTCCCCATGACGTCGAGACCGAGCAGATGGATGGCAGTACAGATCGCCAGCCGAGGACGGCCGCGCCTGGGCGCAGGCGTCGCGCTCCAGGCCCACGTGGGCCTGCGGCCGTCCGAGATGCTGGGGCTCACGGTGGACGACCTGACCTTCCCAGAGGACGGCGGCTACCATCAGAGTGGGGGCCCTCGTGATCGGGCTCGGCCTCAAGACCGGTACCAAGGCCAAGCGGGCCCAGGCTGTGGCGCTCCGCTTGCCAAAAGATGCTGTCTTCTTTCGCATCCTTCGTCGCCTCCGCTCGATTACGCCTGCTGGCCAACGCCTTTTCCCGTACCCCATGGAGGTCTATCGGAGGGAGCTCATGGAGATCCAGAAGGGGCACGGGCTCGACACAAGGTGGACCCCACACAGTCCGAGGGCCGGCTATGCATCAGAAGCGTCTGCTTTGGGAGTTCCCTTTGAAGTTATACGAGAAACGGGCCGTTGGCGAATGGGCTCAAGTTTGAGGATTTACATCGATGTAGTCACGGCGGCTCAGATCAGCACGACTCTCCGCCTTCAAGGCTTCGAGACCGCTTTGTCCTGGGCGAGCCACCATTGGGCCTGGTATATCCTCCAGGCCCTTTCAGTGCATGGCGCCTAAGGGGTCCAGGAAGTCGGCGAACGGGCAGTGGATCCTGCCGGGGAGGACTGCGTCACCAGGGGCCAGCTCGAGGGGCTCACGATCATCGCCAGCCTCCTGGTCCAAGGTTTCATCTCCCGTGCCGACGCTGCCGTCGCCGCTTCCTGACCCTGGTGGAGCGTCGCCAGCGGCCCAGGCGCCCGTCCCGCCGCTGCCCTGTGGGGCCTCCTGGCGGGCGGAGACGCCGCCAGCCGCCGCGGCGCCGCCTGGGGCCGCGGCCGGGGGGATCGCGCCCATGCAGCTGGCCGCGCCAGTGGAGCAGCCCGCCACCGTGCCGCGGGGGAGCGCGGCCGTGCCTAGGGCACCGCCACGCCGCCGCGGCTGGGCGCACTGGCTGGGTGGCCTAGCCGCCGCACGCGCGGCGTCTTCGAGGCACCTGATGATGCTGCTCGCCATCCTGGCGGTCCTCCCCGCAGCCCTCTTTCCGACGGCGACGAGGGCGGTGCGCGCAGCCACCGACCTTGTGGAGGGCGTGGGAGGAGCCGCCAGCAGGGTGCTCGCGTCGGGCGCCAACGTGACCGACTCGGCGGCCAAGTTCGTGGCGGCCATCACGGATGGCTCCCTCTCCTTGGGCGAGACGGCGTGGCGCGGCTACGACCTGCTGAACGTATCGGCCACCTGTAAGTCAGGGCGCCTCTTCCTCGACTCGGGAGAGGACATCGAGGCGCTCGTGCTCAGCGAGAAGGGGAGCAACATCCTGCAGCTCCCCGCCGAGTGGACCCAGGAGCTGGTGGCGGCCATACGTGTCGTGGCGCCTGGGCGCCCCGTGGTGGACAGTGACTACCAGAAGTTTCACCCGAATGGCGACTTCCAGTCGCTCAGCATTCAGGTCCGCTGGTTGAGGACGGGCCACGTGGCTCTAGCCTGGCGCGCGGCGAACGTGACTTTTCGACCCCGCTGGGCGAATCCGACCTGGGCGCTGATGGGCTACGACTTCGGACCTCAGGCTTCAGAGATAGGACGGACGTTGCAATCCCTCGTGCAAGACACGATGGCGCCGCCCAACCTGAGCCTGACAATCGCAGACATCGAAGATGCCCCAGGCATGCCTTCTGCCACGTGGCCCTGGTTTTTGCGATGGCTGGGACGGCAGCTCCGCTACCTGGCCATCAGCATAGAAGAGCGCTGGACGCATACGGGGCCGAGGGGGGGGGGGTCTTCATCACCGTCGCCGACTCCGACCGCTACGTCGACGACAGCCCCCCCCTTCGCTCTCGCCCAGTGACTTTTGAGAATGCCCGCTTTCCCGGATATGGGCACATCAACCAGCGAGATTTTTTGGACAGTTGCAGTTGTGCACTCGAGAGCGGCGGAGGGGCTCTCGATAATTCAAGCAGCTGTGTGAGAAGAAGTTTGAACCTGCAGGCATTCAGACACTTCGAGATCGTACCTTTGGCAAGGCAGAGTTCTCGAAAAAGTTGGTTTCCTGACGTGGCGGCCGCTCCCAATATTGTCACCGCTCCGCGGCTGCACGTCAGGGTCAACAGCAACAATTAAGTAGGCGGCTCTCTTGGGTGTGGGGCCTAAGTACAGCTGTAGAAATGATTGAGCGAGTTCAGAGCGTGTGTTTTGTTCAGTATAGGCTGCAGAAGGGAGGGAGAGAGAGCCAGCCATCCGCTGCAAGTGGCTCCCCACCCATGCCCCGTTTTGCTTCCGCTGCACGGTTCAGTTCCCACCCGGGAGCGCGAGATTTTTTGGACAGTTGCAGTTGTGCACTCGAGAGCGGCGGAGGGGCTCTCGATAATTCAAGCAGCTGTGTGAGAAGAAGTTTGAACCTGCAGGCATTCAGACACTTCGAGATCGTACCTTTGGCAAGGCAGAGTTCTCGAAAAAGTTGGTTTCCTGACGTTGCGGCCGCTCCCAATATTGTCACCGCTCCGCGGCTGCACGTCAGGGTCAACAGCAACAATTAAGTAGGCGGCTCTCTTGGGTGTGGGGCCTAAGTACAGCTGTAGAAATGTATGTATGTATGTATGCATGCATGTATGTATGTATGTATGTATGTATGTATGTGTGTATGTATATATGTATGTATATATGTATGCATGTATGCGTATGTACGTATGTATGGGTATGTATGTATGTATGTATGTATGTATGTATGTATGTAATGCATGTATGTATGTATGTATGTATGTATGTATGTATGCATGTATGCATGCATGTATGTATGTATGTATGTATGTATGTATGTGTGTATGCATGTATGTGTGCATGTACGTATGCATGCATGCATGCATGCATGTAGGCACATGTATATATACATGCATATATATACATATGTATACATACATATACATTAGCAGGGCCTGGACGCAGGTTCGGGTGTGTTCGTGTTCGGTTTCGCTGAACGCGTGTTCGCTTATCGCGTGTTCGGCGACCTGGCCTGAACACTTGTTCGGGTGTGCTCGGTGGTTGGGATTCGCTGAAAGCGTGTTCGCGAGGCGCCGGCTTGTCGAATATCTTGATTTATTAACGATGCCCACGCATTAGCGCCATACTAACAAGAAGCGGAGTGGCGCAGTGGTTAAGCGTGTTGGGCTCATAATGAAAGTGCCCCTGGATCTAAACCAGGCATCGCTGTTTTTTGTCATGCGGCATCCAACCAATGCCAGCCACGTGCGGCCTGCAGCCGGGAATCAAGGAACGCACCGGCGGGATACAGCAGTTACCGGACTTGACTCAAACATCCACCCGGGAATCAATGAACGCACCCGCGGTTTACAGAAATGGCCATATTTCATTCAAACATGCACCCGGGAATCAATAAACGCACCCGCGGGGTACAGAAATTACAGATTTGACTCAATTCACCTGGGAATCAATAACCCACCTTCGGGATACAGAGATGAACGGATTAGACTCAAGAATCCATTCGGGAATCAATATACGCACCCGCGGGATACGCTAATGACCAAATTGGAGTCAAGAGTCCACTTGGGAATCAATATATGCAACCGAGTCAAGAAACCACATCCGAGGCTGCGCCGGCCGTTCTGCCTACATATTCGGATTTTGACGGGCATCCGGAAAACGTCCCGAAACATGTTCCAAACGTGCCTTTCGAGACGATTTTCTACTTCCGGGGCATCATGAGCCTTCCGGGAGCCTCGTCGCGAGGGCGGGCCGTGTCCAAGCAGGCTGCCTCAGAAATGCGCCCGGGAATCATTAAATCTGCTGGCAATGCCTGCTGGCAATGCTTGCTGGCAATGTCTGCTGGCAATGCCTGCTGGCAAAGGCTGCTGGCAATGCCTGCTGGCAATGCCTGCTGGCAATGCCTGCTGGCAATGCCTGCTGGCAATGCTTGCTGGCAATGCCTGTTGGCAAAGGCTGCTGGCAAAGGCTGCTGGCAAAGGCTGCTGGCAAAGGCTGCTGGCAAAGGCTGCTGGCATAGGCTGCTGGCAAAGGCTGCTGGCAAAGTCTGCAGGCAAAGGCTGCTGGCAGAGGCTGCTGGCATAGGCTGCTGGCAAAGGCTGCTGGCAAAGGCTGCTGGCAAAGGCTGCTGGCAATGCCTGCTGGCAAAGGCTGCTGGCAATGCCTGCTGGCAATGCCTGCTGGCAAAGGCTGCTGGCAAGGGCTGCTGGCAAAGGCTGCTGGCAGAGGCTGCTGGCAAAGGCTGCTGGCAAAGGCTGCTGGCAAAGGCTGCTGGCAAGGTCTGCTGGCAAAGGCTGCTGGCAAAGGCTGCTGGCAAAGGCTGCTGGCAAAGGCTGCTGGCAAAGGCGGCTGGCAAAGGTTGCTGGCAAAGGCTGCTGGCAAAGGCTGCTGGCAAAGGCTGCTGTCAAAGGCTGCTGGCAAAGGCTGCTGGCAAAGGCTGCTGGCAAAGGCTGCTGGCAATGCCTGTGGGTCGCGCCCGGCTCGGCTCAGGCTGCCAGTGTTACTGTAATTGTCCAGTTGCTGATTATGTCTCTGATTAGTTCCAGTTGTTGCTTATGTATCTGATTAGTTGCCTTCCATCGCCAGCAGCCTTTGCCAGCAGCCTTTGCCACATGATTTTGCGTGACACGAAACAGCGATGCCTGGCTTCGATCCGAAGACCTTTGGGTTATGAGCTCAACGCGCTAACCACTGTGCCACTCCGCTTTTTGTCGGTATGGTGGTAATGCGTGGATATCAACAGGCGGGCATGTAGGTAAGTAGGCAGTTTGGCAGCCAGGCGGCTAGGCAGCTTGGCGGTGTTCGGGTTTGTTGAGGTTTCGGGTTCGTATTTGTGTTCGGAGAACGCGTTTTCGGGCTCGTGTTCGTGTGTTCGGGGTGGCGTTGCGGGGGTGAACGCGTGTTCGGGTGCGTTCCAGTGTTCGCTGTGTTCGGGGGGGGGGGGTTATAGAGGTGTTCGGCAGTATTCGGCTTCCCCCTTAAATTATTTAGCGTGTTCGCTTGAACGCGTGTTCGCGTGTTCGGGGGCCTGCTAATATATATATATATATATATATATAGATATATATAATGGATAAGATGTATATATGTATGTGTATATATATATGTAGACATAGAGCGCGAGAGAGAGAGAGAGGGAGGGAGGGGAGGGGAGGGAAGGGGGAGTGGAGAGAAGGAGGGAGGGAGGGATGGGTACGGCCGCCCACGAGAGTGAATTGAGCCATTCGAGTTTGATGCGATCTGCGTGTGTTTAAGTGGTTTGCATGGGCGTTGCATGTTTTTAGATGATTTGCATGCGTTTGTTGCGCATATTTATGCGATGTGCATGTGTGTCTGCAAGTACCCATGTGATTTGCATGTGTTTATGAACAGCTATATGAATAAGGATAACAATCAACATGAACAAACTATGTATGCATTATCGTGTAACTCCCCCCCAGCACCCCCAAACGACGGACTAGGGGGGGGGGGCGTCCTCCTCCTCATCTTCTTCATCTGTCTCATCTTCCTCCTCTCCTCATCCTCATATCCTTATATCCGTCTCTTATATGTCCTCCTCTTCCCCTGCGCCTCATCATCTGCTCCTCTCGCGGAGCAGTGCAGCCTCGAGCGGAGGATGATGAGGATAATGGTGATGATGAGGAGGAGGAGGATGACCTGAATTCAATCGGAATCCATTGGATTTTGGACCTGCTCCGTTTCTATTGAAGTTTGCTTAGAACCCTATTCAAATTCAATAGGAATCCTCTGGATCTGGGACCTGCTCCGTTTCCATTGGAATCATATGATAATCTTATTCGAATTCAATATGAGTCGTTTTGATATGGGATATGTTCCTTTCCACTTTCAATTCCTGCTCTTCCTCTTCTTGTACACATGTCTTGGGGAGGGAGAGAAAGACACAGAGAAAGAGAAAGAGAGAGAGAGACAGAGAGAGAGAGAGAGAATCGGGGAGGGCTCCTCTCTCTCCCTCCTCTCCTTCTCTTCTTTTACTTAGAAAGAGAGAGAGAGAGGAGAGAACGAGAGAGAGAGAGAGGGGGAGAGGGTGGTGAGAGTTAGTTCCTCTCTCCTTCTCCTATTCCTCTCTCCTTCTCCTCCTCCTTCTCCCCCTCCCCCTCCTCTCCACATGCGTGAAAAACAAAGGGGGCAGATAGAGAGAGCGAGAGAGACAGAAAGAGAGAGAGAGAGAAAGAGAGAGAGAGAACGAGTGTGAGAGAGAGAGTATTCCGCGCCTGCTGCGGCCGCTCGTACTCTTTCCTCTCATGAGGAGAATGAGGAGGATGAGAAGGAGGAGGATTTGGGATCTGCTCTTTTCTAGTGCAATCTTATCAGGACCTTGATCAAATGGAATGGGCATTCTTTGGATCTGGGATCTGCTCCGTTCCTATCGGAATCCGATTCGCATCCTAATCCAATTCATGAGGAATCCTCTGGATCTGGGATCTGTTCCTTTCCTATTGAAATCCTATCAGGCAGGGCCCTATTCAAATTCGATAGGAATCCCTTGGGTTTGGAAGATCTGCGCCAATTCTATTCAAGTTTGCTTAGAACCCCATCCAAATTCAATAGGGATCCTCTGGCTCTGGGACCACTTCCATTTCCCATTGACATCGTATCCGATTCCTATCCAAATTCAATGGGAATCCTCTGGATCTGGTATCTGCTCCGT